GATTGAAATTTGAAAATCATCTGAGTTAGACTACTGTTAAAAACCCGAATTCAATAGTGGTTTAACTTAGATCAATTCAGTATTTCTATCCAATTCAATAATTTCTACAACTTTATACATGCCAAAATGAAAAAACTCATGCCTGATAGACAAAAGTTTTACTACTTTGAAATTCTCAATAAACCATTGTGATCACTATATGTCAAAAGCCTAAGTTACCTGAATCCTGTATTTATTATTAAAATAAAATTAACTATGTCAAATGAAAAATAGACGTCATGATAATTAGTTAGTTTAGGCTTAAATTACCTGGTATTATAATCAAATGTATAAGCATAAACTCCGCCTAGAGCCCTTATAGGGTTATTGCCGGTCCTAGGCCCGAATAACGTAGGAGGATAGGACATGGGGTTAGTGACCACATCCCGTAGAAAACAGAATCGCGAAGTAAAAGCTAACCAAAAAAAGTAATTCATACCATTTAATTTCTGCTATGGGAGACGGGAGGTCTTCATTTAGAACACTTATGATGTTTGATAATAGCCGCGTTTCTTCGGAATTCAAGAGGACGATGCCCCTTTTCACAAGTAGAGCAACTAATAATACAGGCATATGGAGATCAAAAGAACCACTCAAGTTGCTGCAAAGGTGAAAAGATACAACCTGATGGTGTTTGGAATCAGTAAAACACATTGGACGCATTTTGGACAAAAAGGACTGGCCTGAGGAGAGATCCTGTTATACTCTAACCATGAAAAGGAGGATGCCTAAAATACATGAGGATTCCCACTGATTCCGTCCAAAGAAGTACAGAAATTACTGATGGGTTCGGAATATCATGGTCCTAGGACCATCTAAACATATTGCGAAAGATAATAACGGATGTAATTCAGTGCTATGCACCTACCAACAATAACAGTGAGGATGCTGAAGATCAATTCTATGAGAGACTGTAGATAACTTTCATAAAATGCCTAGAAAAGGATTCAACTATTCTGATGGAAGACCTAAACGTCAAGGTTGGTATGGAAAACATTGAATATGAAGACATCGTGTGACGATATGGGCTGGGAGAAGTGAACGGAAATAGTGAGAGATTCACAAACCTACATTCATTTGATAAAATGGCCTTAGGCGGCACCGTATTTCCAAACAAACGCGTACACTAAGTCACATTGATTTCACCGGACTACAATACACAGAACTAAGACGATCATATCTGCATCATTAAAAAGTTTGATAGGGCCATGGAAGATATGAGAACCAACAGAGGAGCTGACATTACTTCAGATCATCACTTAGTAATGAGTAAGATGAAACTGAAACTCAAGAAGCACTGGGCAGCTGGGCGAACAGCACCACTAAAGTTTAGTGCGGACTTTCTTCCGGATACTGGCAAGCTTAACGAATCCAAGATAGCTCCCAGCAATAAGTTCTTAACCTTTCAAGATCAACTCGCTGAAAAGGAACCGACCGTGGAGAACAACTGGTAACATCAAAAAATCAATAAGTTCAGTATGTCATGAGGCTGTGGGTCACAAGAAGTACCATCACAAAGAATGAAATTTTATGGAAGAATGAAGAATGGTAAAGCAGCAGGATCAGAAGCCATCCCAGATGATGCACTGAAAGCAGATATGGCAGTGACTGAAAAGATACTCTATACTCTTTCCTGAAAGATATAGGAGGAAGAAAAAGTACGAACAGACTGAAAAGAAGGACACCTCATCAAGATACCAAAAAAGGGAGATCTCAGCAAACAAGAGAACTACAGGGAAATCACTTCACTCTCAGTAACAGGAAAAATTTCCAACAGAGTGTTGTTATGCTGAATAAAAGATTAAGTAGACTCCAGACTTCGAAATTAGCAGGATGGATTCCTCAAACATCGATCGTGTACTGACCAAGTCGTGACACTATGGATCATTTTAGAACAATAATTTGAATGAAACTCATCACTATATATATCAACTTCATTGACTACAAGAAAGCATTCAATAAAGTAAACAGAATGACATTGTGCAGACTTCTTCAGCAAAGTTGCATACTCTCACGATTTCTTTCCACTAGATTATGAAAACATCAACTTCTGATGGAAAACAAGGAATACAGTAGACAGCTTGGATGCAGCCGGAAAATATGGACTTCACAGATTATCTAGTTTACTTATCCCACACGAAATATTAAATTAGGGAGAAGATGGTCAGTGTGTCAGCAGCCTCTGGAGCAACAGATCTCAACATACACAAAGGGAAAAAGAGAGATTCCTCGATACTTCACAACATGAGACAACCAGACCAAACATGATGGAGAAACTTTGAAAGATTAGGAAGCATTTACGTTTCAGCTAAGCATCAATGGTAAACTAGATACAGGTTTGCAAAGCAAGGGCAGCAACATCTGTAACTCGAAAGAATTATTGACAAACACAGAAGTCACCATTTTCAACACGAAAGTCAGAATCATTCTGTTGTATGAATCGGAAACTTTGGAAACTACTGCAACCATCATTCGAAGAATATATGTGTTTATTAACAATTGTTTTACAGGAGATACTGAGGATCTGATGGTCAAATAGCATCAGCAACAACCTACTGTGGGTGAGAACAAACCAGATTTCAGATTAAGAATAAATGAGGAAAAGGTGCTGGAGGCGGTTAGGATACATATTACGGAAATCACTGCATCACAAAACCAACCCTTATTTGAAATGATCAGGGTGAAAAGAAAAGAGGAAGACTAAAGAACAAATTACGCCGAGAAATAGAAGCAGAGAGGAAAATAATGAACAGCGATTGGATAGAACTGGAAAGCAAGGTCCAGGACAGAGTAGATTGGAGAATGTTGGTCGGCAGCCTATGTCTCATTGGGAGTAACAGGTGTAAGTAACTAAATCTAAGCATAGGTTATCAATTATCAGGAATAAAATATTCAAAAAGTGATTTGAAACTACTTACCATCACCTCAGTAACTTGTTTACAAAATGTCAACTAAAAACGTAGAGTATACAACTCATAAAAGCTGAGAATATTTGATTTAAGCTCGTGGATGTTGATTATAAAATAATGTCACAACAATCTTAAGGACACACAGCACTCTACAGATCTGATCAACTTAATCACAGAAGACAGAAATTGCACCGTTGGAACTGATAAGCATCGTACGTTTGAACTTCGAAACGTACGTCGTCTATTACTCTTTCTGTTATTTTGTTCATTATATAAATAGTTTATGTAAATTCTTTTTGCCTGAAGACTTAGTTTAATTATTATTATGGTCAGATTGTATATAGATTGAAAAATTTAAACTCCTAAAACTGAAAATATTATCAGTCACGCTATTTAGAGGCAAACAAATGCCTAATTTGGTGATTCTTACTGATGGAGGATGATAGATAATCTGAACGATAAGTCATCTACGAAATCTATTGTTTACCTCAACAAACTGGTGTTTTCAGACAATGCGCTAACAAATGAGGATTTAAGTAATTTATAAACTCTCAGTGTTTTCGTAAACGTGTAAGTATTTTCGGCTAATAAATTTCAATAACCATTAAAACTAGATCAAAAAATTGTGCTTTGGTTGGACTCACACATTTGAAACCTGGTCTCAATGCGCTATGACCTTGAGCTGCTTGGCATACTACCTTCATACCAACCTTTTTATCCTTGACGCTCATAACTAGATATCCATTCAATGATCTGTGCACTTTCTAATTTTTCAGACAGTATATTTGTGACTGACCCATCATGTTCCAGACCTTATCAGCTTGTTTTAGCAACTCTAAATAATAACAGGTTACGTATTTTTTACACTTGAACTAGCTACTTTCTATGCATATGTACACTATGAATATAAAAAAGTGCATTTCAATTTGTCGGAACAATTCATAATGTATTATCATGTTTTTTTCTAGATTGAATTAATTATACTGCTATTGCACTTTAAGAAATGACAAAAGTGCATTGAAACGATACCGTAAAAACATATCTAATTATATTCGCAAGCTGATTACATTTTAACAGAGAACTTTCTGGTGTATATTTTTGTTATTTAGAACTCTTCAACATGTAGTACCCATTTCTCACTATTGACATTTACGATGAAACTATGGTTCAGTATCCATCACATCAAACATTAAAAGTTATTTCCCAAAAATATTTACTTTAACTTGACGTCCAGAACATCATAATTTAAGAATTTTGGAAATTGTAAGGAATCATTTCAACAACACGATATGCCAGTGGAGGACGATCACTGAAAACATGAATGTCAACAGTAGAAAAATACTTACCCTTATAATTGATAATAAATATCATACTCACTAACATCGTGGTGATAGTAACTCAGTAACTTTGTAAGTGCATAACGCTTTTGTGTTTGTAAGATAAGTAATCGGGTCAATGTCTCAATGTGGGCATCAACACGAGTTCGGTTACATCAAGTCAGTCAGCCAAAAATAAAAAGGATCGCTCATTCGGGATTAACTAATCATTTCATTGTGCCTTCTGGTTCTAAAATAAATCTCTTATATGTTTAGTCTTTTTCTTAATTCTGAAGAACAACTAACCTGCAGCCATTTCTGTGTATTCTAAAGAACTGAATAGTAATCAGTAAAAAATCCTAGCCTAAAACGATCGTATGTTTAAACTCAGAAGTCCTAATATAGTTAAACTAATTTTTTTCACTTTATTTAACCATTTCTAGAGATTTTTTTTAAAAAGATTCTCCCAAGATTTATATCATTCATACAAATCATCCTGCTTACTGAAGTTCAGTTGTAATCTGATTGGCACTTAAGATCAATGAAAGGATGTATTGTTCTAGTCATTTATTCGATTATTTTATTCACTGTATATTATTAGTTTATGCTACCATTAACACTATTTATTTGCACATGCAAATTACTTAGCTTATCCATGTAACCATAGTGAAGTTACAAGTTGTATAAATAATGCTTGTGTTCAAATGCAAAATAGACAGACAGATTAGATGCTTGTTTAAAGTGTGTGATATCAAAAAAATCTTTCTGATTCTTTTCAATGTTAATTTTTTAACGATATTTTAACAAAACAAATTGGTGTTATCAATAAAATTATTGAAATTATTGTAAACTATAATTTGTCATCATAAAATGCTTAAAAAATACATGAAAATGTTTATCATCTTATTTAGTTTATTTATTAATTTTACATCTGTTAACGGATTTTTAACAAAATTACGAAGTTGGGACGATGTTTATGGTTACAATAATATATGGAATTCACCAGAGAAAAAAGAGTATACACTAAATGGAAAAATTGATCATAATAATAATAATAATATTAATAAATCAGAACAAACTCAATATAATAAAAATAAACAGACAAAATTGAAAAATCAAGGTTTTGCTGATAACTTAATGCTAATTGATGGAGCATCAAAAAATGAAGGTACCGTATTGGTTAATCGACATGGTAAATGGGGCACAATATGTGATGACAATTGGACATTAAAAGAAGCCAATGTTATATGTCGTATGTTAGGTTATCCACATGCATTACAAGCTACAACAAGAGATTATTTCTTTTCTAATAGCGAATGTAAGTTTATTTTATTCATTGAAATTTATTTGAAAAATATATTCATTCAACTATTCTTTTACACAGACAATTTCTAAATGTTTATATGATCTGATTAAGTTATTTGATGAGAAAAGTATGCAAATGGATAATTTAAGCGGATTCTGAACAAACTCTATAACTAAATAATACGAAGTCACGAGTTTAAAACCTAACGATTATAAATAGAAGTGTTGTTTATTTCAACTTAAATTATTTAGTGCCAGCGCATTTCAGAGACTTCGTCCAATATAAACAGACTTTTAATTTTTAAATAATAAGTACATATTTTATCTTCATTAAGACTTTCCAACGATGATTGACTAACAAATGATAACAAAAACAGCTAAAGATATTTCTTTATAGTATTGTATCCAAACAAATTGGCATTATATATAAGTAGTATAAACATGGATGAACTTAAAGATTTTATGTAACAGAAGTTGATTTGAAAGCGACTGATCTAAAGAGAAAAATTGCTTATCATCCTTAAAGTGGAATGTGTTTTCAATGAAATGTTTACATTCAATGTATTAAAAAAGATGTAGATATTAGTATAAAAATAATCCATAACAAATCTTTGAAGGTTAATTTTAAAATAGTTTGATTGCGTAAACAGAAACTTTTACCAAATTTATTTTTTTATCAATCAACTTAACAAAGAGGAAGTATCCACCTATAAAGCCGCAGGAATATAACACCACATATTTGGCCATTCATCATGTTAGATTAACATTAACACATTTCATTTGAATCTAGGTAAACGTCGAAAATGTAAATGAAATCATACTTTAGAGTAATAAAAAATAATCTAACTTTCCGACTACTTACCTTTCTTTCTGATATGATATATTGGTTGTTATTGTCACATTATCATGTATTATTGCTTTATTTGATGTTCAGTGATGTGACGTTTTATAACTTGTGATTATTTAATTCTGTCAGTTTATACTAAATGGTGATGAGATTCACCAATTTCACTGAAATTTTATAAATTTATGGGTTTTCTATAAAAACAACTGTAACCTTTATGAAATTTAAAATTGTTTCTGTCACTAATAATTTACCCATAAAATTTTCAACCTTTAATGCCTAACAGTGTGTTAAATCTCCTTGTACTAATGAAAAAAAACAACTTGATAAATATATGCACGGATCATATTGAATAAATCTAAGATTTTATGATACATGTGATCGTTTAAAAAATATAGGTGCAGACATACTGTTTGTAAACCTCTGTAGTCAAACATTAGATCTAGCTCCAACTATCATTTAAAGGAGTGAACATTTCAGATCAAATCTTGTTGACTGAAGCTATTAGTTTAAAAGCAACAAATGTGATTGCAGATGAATTTCAACAGTAAAAACATAAGCCATGAATGAACTCATTAAATATGAAAATTTGACATTGACATAAAAGATAAATGGTATATGACATGTATTATTCCACACAAGGAACAAACTGGATAGCATCCTGAACCATAGATTACAATTTCAGAATCTAAATGTTCGAATATATCTCAGTAACAAGATAAATTCACCAGATCTTTTAAGAGTTTCACAATCCAATACATAAATTTATGTGAACTTGAACGAAGTGATTAAATCGGCTGGAACTTATAAGCTTACTAAAATATCCAAACCAGATATTCCATTGAGACGTGCAAAACTTCTGTTATTAAAATCTCTGATAAAAATTTTGGAAATATTCTACCAACAAAATATTAGGTACATAATCATATATGTGTTCCGACTTGTAGTGAACCCACAGTGTTTTTCCTAGAAGAAACATGATTATGATCAGTAACATCTGGATGTTTTTAAAGAACTATTACCAACATGTACCATTAATGTGAAGTTCATCTTTATCGGAGAAAAAGGCATACAGTTGAATGGAGTAGAAATGAATTCTTACTAATCCCATTTTAGCTTATATTTTTCTGATTAAACTAGGAAACGAATCACTTGTACGGTTTACTGGAAGCCCTTGTTACGCTTCCGATCATTCCTCATCTAGAAAGATCATACCGATCGGTAAGAAACTCTCTGGGTATTTAACGAACTCTATCAGCCTATTAAGTTTACAGACAGCATAATCTTTCCATATTCTCTATTTACAAAGGCAGAATAGATGGATTGTCGCGAAGTAACTTAAACGACAATACTACCTTGACAGAACTTGACATAAATCGTTTTAGTTTTATTCTCTTGCAGTATGAACGAAACATGTTGATAACTACCTATCATAGACTGCGATCATATGTTCTCCAGATACAGTGATGAAAAATTGACTGCTATGCTTATCATTCTAAAGGAAGGTGGGTAACTGGAAGGGTTTATAAGCAAACGCACTGATGCAAAAAAATAAAAATGTTCAAACGGTAGACAAAAAAGCCTCTTTCAGGGTAGACGCACTTTGAGAAATACTAACTCTGAGGTTCAATGGAAGTCCAATTTAAACAAAAACTACAACTAATTTTTTCGACGCATTGGATAATAGCACTGAAAAGGAAAATAAATATACTAGACTAGCTACTTTTTTGTACCTATAGATTCGACTGCGCCCGTGGCGCAAGTACGAGTTCAAGGAGTCTAAATCTATGTCCCCATGAACATCTTTCAACAAAACAAAGAAGTAAATAAAATAGTTAATAGTTTCACCACAACCCATCTATTTTGAAAGATATCGTTTACTAATCAGTGAACAGATTAAATTTGGTTTCCCAAAATTATGGCTAGAATTTCTAACTGAAGGTATTGGATAATTATCGCAATATAACGAGGACTGACTGGAACTGAAAATATGTGGATTGTTGAACACAGAGATTGATCAGTTTAGTGCTCACCATAAGACGAGAAACTCCTAAGTTCGACCTCCATAAAAGTTCACATTCAACATCTTATCAGGGATCTACATCAGGCCGTTCAAGCCTTGCGATGAGGTCTTAGCCTACAAACCACCTGGTTCTTACCCAAGAGTTTTATGACGTCAGTCCCCGATGTAGTACTGTAAAGATCAACAGCTTCCACCATGACCTACACTAGAATAATCTTTCTTGAATAAATTTTTATTCATTTAGTTTGAAGAGAAAAGTCTTTAAAAAATCTGAGTTTCTACATCATTTGGAGCATAAAGATAAATTATGGATATCCAATTGGCTTAGAGTCATACAGACGCTTCACTCGATAATCCCATATCATTTATAATGTCTGAAAATCTGAGCTATTTCGAACTATATGATTACTATCATTGTCACTTTCTAAATCCTTGAAATACATAAAAACAGGTGATGAAACCTTCAAATTACATACAGTCCAATCTTTACATACTCATACAATAATTTCTCACGTGACAAATAGAGTTGTCTATCAGCCACCTTAAAATCGATTAATTTCATAACAGTATTCTATGTTCTATCTCATCAACACACTCTGACTCATTGTGTAAAAGCGACAACGCCCGGATCAATACTTTATAAAATGACTTATTACCAATCAAAGTTTGGCTTTTATTACCTTTTCTTTTGAATTTACTTTTGTTTGCTTTGCACCAATAGTCTGTTGACCTTGAAAATACTTCTTACCTCACTTCTTCACATGACTTTATTGATCTTTCTGTTTACTGTTTGCCAGCTATTGATAACAGAGGATAAAGTGTCAAAAATGGCATCACTGAATATAGAGACTTAAGTAATCCATAACTATTTTGGCAGTGTTAACATTTATTACCATTTCCAAGAAAACTGGTAATATTACTGATCAAGTTGATTTGAGTTAGTTTCCTTTTTTTGGTTGTTCGATAGTTGTAACCATATCCATGTATAATCGATCTTATATTTCTTACTCCTCTTGTCAGATGAATACTTACTGGATGATGTCTATTGTAAAGGAAGTGAATCTTACTTAAATGAATGTGTTTATTGGACAGAACATGATTGTTTAAAACGAGAAGAAGCTGGTGTCATTTGTCTTAATCCTGAACCAATCAAATGGCAATATAATGTTAAAAATCCTCAGATTGAAAAGCTGTCTCTTACTGAAAATAAAAGGATGAAAAAGGTCAGTAAAATCTATACTTGCATTCTATAATTTCAAACATTCATCATTAGGTTAGTATTTGGATATTTTATGAACACTAATAACTCTAACATTCATTACATTTAAAAATGATCAAAATTATCGGAAATCTTAATGTTAAACTTACGACACATTATGTCATCTAATTCGATCGTGAAAGGTTATCAACTAAAACTGAGATAATACATATATAACATTATTTCCAAATTACTGAAAGCTTACGGTATTATATATATATATATATATATATACATATATATATATATATATATATATATATATATATATATATATATATATATATATATATATATATAAACATGCAATGTCCAGTTACTTATACGTTAGATTCAGTAACCAACACGTAATATCTCAGTAATAACTTAAATAGCTGATAAATTTATTTTGAAACTAACAAGAAATAAGCAAAATATTACTATTCTTAGAGTAAGTACAACCATTTCTCTTCAAAAAATGAAAAGCCGTGCAATTAGAAAATAAAAGTATTCTCTTCGTTCGACTGTATCACTTGGTATAAGCTAATATAAGAATAATATACTATCAGGTATTTTAAAAGATTGCTTAATCATGTTCAGTGATAATTAAGTTTGATATCGTATATTTCTGTTCATTGTTGAATTGTCGTAAAGTTTCTCTAGACTTGGCAATGTTTCTTTCGATTGTTAATGTTACTTCCACTAAACTAAAAATGATTATCTGATGATAAAAAAGAAATGTTGAAAATATTCAACATTATTTGTTCTTTGGTATAAATTTTTAGGAAAAATATCAAATCACCTTGAAAGGGTTTAACAATATGATAATCCTTTCCCAACTTTTAAACTTACTATTAACAGTGTCATTCAAACATTTTTTAGATTTTGTCCGAACTACAAATAGTTAATACATACAAGTCTTTAGTTTCCAACTATGCTCTGGTATTAACAAGTTTTAAAAATTTAATTACGTTAGGTTATTTGCAACCATTCAGAAATCTATATAATATTCGTCTTAGTGCACTATCTTAGTTCTTATTGAACTGAAAAAAACCAGTGCCATATACTCCTGACTTAATACGAAACAATAAATGTTTTTGTTCAGCTACCTATTAATAATTATAAGAATGATTCTAAGCATCTGATTTATATTAATACTAACCATTATATGCTTGTTCAATTACCCAGTCAGTATCAAATATCTACTCCTAGAACATGATTTTTGGTTTGAGATAACCTAAAACATATTTGGTTTGCACTCACTGTCGAGGATGTTAGATCCCCAGAACTCGCTTGATAAACGCCTTATTTTGGATTTTACATTTGCGAGCATGGGCTGATCAGTTGACCCTGAGATTTCATTTCCCACCAGGAAAATCCATGGCTGTGATTGGCTGCTGTGTATTTTAGTATGCTGTTTTCGCAACTGTCCCAAGGACGTTTCTATGATGTATAAATAAACTAGAGTTGTGTGCTTGATTGTATTGGATTGCTGGGTGTTTGTAGAATATACTTTCTACGCTCACCAAGACTTCTGTTTTACAGTTTGGGATTCAAGTTAGCCTATCTGGACGCTGGTAATTGTCTCGTTCGCGTTTATCGAATAAGGTGAACTCGTAATAGCTTCAAGCGTACCTAGTGATGAACATAACACTCACATACTTGCAATAGATACTTCTGTGGGATGGAATTTTATTACACTTGTGTATTTTCACAAATGATCTCTTTGGCCTGGCTTTACCTTTATTAGGATTGCGGAGAAAAAAAACTCTTGAGCAAAATGATACATTTTGTAAATTTATTATTGGAGGAAATATGTTATACTTCACAGTGAGCATGCTTTTTATTATGTTGCGATAAATATCCCATTGTTCCACAAAACTAGCACAAACTCTAAACTGACCAACCATGTACATATGCTAAACATATATTGATATGTTGTTAACTCATCATTCAACTAAATGATTACTGTAATCGGCATCAGTAAGTCAAGAGACAATAAACCAACCAACTATAACATTATATTAGCAATCTTTTTAAAAACATTTCTCACAGTAGTGTTTTAAACTATATGGAATATGTGAATAAGCGAATAAATTATATGGTTTCAACAACAACTTTTAGATTATATGGTGTTAACAGAAAAGTTAAAAAAATGAACAAACTGTATTATGAATAGAATTTTTTTACTTTTCACAATCTATGCATGTCTATATATGTATAGTCTAAATATTTATGCATAATAAAACGCTGCTAAATAAAATAAAATGGTCAAAAATGTTACAGAGATAAAAATTTCTTTCTTCTTCTTCGCTAGGCATAATTATTTTGTCTATAAAATCTAAAGTGTAGTTAGTGACATGAAAAAAAAGTAGGTTGTAATTATTAATCTTACCGTTGTTAGAATTTCCTGTCGGTACATCATGTGAATAAACAAAACATCCAATTTTTAACAGAAAAATTTTTTAAACTTTTGCACTCTGTAAAATGTTTTTACCAAAGCGTCTAAAAAGCTGATGTTTTGTTTTTTATTTGTTAATTACGCAAATCTACAAACAAGTTAGTGGATTATTTTGACTAAAGTAGGAGGTTTTCTGATTCTTGAAAAAGACCACTGATTTATTATTCAGCAACGTCAGTTATACATAAGTATGCATATATATATATATATCGCTTTTTGAAAAGTTTAATGTCAATTAATGACTTATATTAACATTTGATAATATATTATCATTGTTTTAAACCGATTTAAGAGTCCTTAAAACTCAATGAAACAGAAAGGAAAAGATAATATATTACTGTGTACTTCTAAAAATCTCAATAGTAAATATCCATTTACGTTGAAAATATTATTGTGTTGTTAGTCAACATTTTCACGTTAAAATAATAAACCTAATTCTAGAGAACTCTATTTACCACTAAGTATACGGTTGAATTGTTAGCAGGAAGGAACTTTCCGAATTTTCTTCTGAAATTATGACCTCTGATTTTTTTGCATTTATGTCCGAATTTTAGGAAAACTTAAAAGCCATTCTAATGTGCTCTTAATTGTGTAAAATAAATTTTTAGACATTTTTTCCTACTAAAGAATTCATTGATTTTTAATTATGAGTTGTAGAGACGATACGATTATTTTGTTAAGCTGATGTCAAGATAAATTATATTTATTTAAATGATGTTTAGCAAAATCAAATAATCTCAAGGTGTTTAAAACAATCAGTCCCTTCTATAAATTTTGACAGAACAGTGAGACGATGTAACTGATCTGAAAAATGTGATGTAAAAGACCACAGATATTGTGATTCTCAAACCTGACAAAGGCTCTGGAGTAGTTGTAATGAATAAGTGTGATTACAAAAAGAAAATGTTATTCATTCTTAGTGATGAAAGGAAATTTTTGACTAATATTTCATCTTATAATGAGGTTAGAAATTTTGAATCGAGAGTTAACTCCAATCTAATGAAGCTGCTCAATATGAATGTTATCAACAAGGATAAATTTAACATGTTAAAACCCACTGGTTCTGAACAACCGGATTTATATGGATTACCCAGAATTCACAAACCTAACAATCTACTAAGACCAGTATTATTTATTTGCGGCCCATCTACACATTAGCTAAATTACTCAACCCGATCCGTCATAAATTGTGTAAGTTTTCCTTGAAAGATACATTTGAACTAATTGATGTTCTTGGTGTCATTATTATCAAAAGAAAGACTATGCGTTCTTTTGATGTAAACTCCCTCTTTAGCAATGTACCCGTAATGAAGACTGGTAACTTTCTTTGTGACTATACATTGATTAATTTCCCTCTTTTTCCTATTCAGTGAACACTGTTGAGAGAACTACTTTTATTATGTATTGAAAAAGTTCAATTCACATTTGATGATGAACATTTCCAGCAAATTGATGACATTGCTATGCTTAGTCCTTTGGGACCTTTCTTAGCTGATGTTTATATGGCCTATGTAGAAAATCTATAGAATGAGTTCGTCAATAAGGTTACTCTATACAGGAAATATATAGGGATGATATTTTGGTTATCTGCGATACAGAACTCAATGTCTCTCGGTTACCGAATAATTTCAATAGTCTTCAGAACGACACTGTCCTAACCCACAAAGCAGAAAGTAATAACCAATTGCCCGTTTTAGACATAGTGTTGAGTCGAAGAGAGAACGGAACTATTAAGCGTTCAGTTTATAGAAAGCCAACCTGGACTCGACAGTATCAAATTTTCAGCAGATTTTGTCCATTGCAACACCAGGGATGCTTGGCAAAATGCATCTTCAATAGGGCACAAAGAATTTACACCACGTATACATTTGACCATGTTCATCGATCGCAAAACACATAACTGAGACAGGGCATGAGATTGACATCAAGACAGCCTTCAAAATATTGTATGGAAACGCTGAGGGACGAATTTTAAGGTTGATAGAAGCCTTGGCTATTCGTAAATTAAAACCCCCCCTTATGTGTGCAGATACAATTTGTCATAACCTTGAATTTACCCTGGTAATCTTTAAGCCTAGGGTAATGTGACAACTTTCCTACCCTTTCTTATTCTTTCTATATTATGTTAATTTTCTCTCTCCTTCATTTACAATTATCACCTCATGACTATTTGAACTATTATTAAACTGACCTTTTATTATTTTTTATATAAAATGCCTTGACATGTATATGTGTGGCCAGATTGTTCTAAATGCAAAGCGCGATCACATTTTACAAATAAATTACGTTTTATCACTGTTCTGTCAAAAAGTTCTCAAGGTGGTATCTTTGTCTACTCAGTAGTATTTTATATAAATTACAGTATTCCACTTTATTATCAGTAACTAATTTCCCGGCAAAAGATTAATTATTCATAATTACTACTTACTGAGTCTAATTTATAACATTGTAAAGTCAGTAACATCTAATTTTTAAACCATCAATAATTGTATAAAATATGTAATAAAGATAAGGGTGAGATTGCAGATTAGTTAATCACTGTATTTAAAGAACCTTCACATTCTCGTCTGAATAGTGCGATCCTACTTTTAAAAACTATGTAAATTATCTTATTAGTAATGCCCTTGAACAATCTACATTTCGATCGGTAAAGTTAACATTTCAATTTAAAACTATATTAGTTTATAAACAACTTCACATATCCTTTGTTAATAAACAAATAGGATTAGACGCAACTAGTTTTATCCTCGTGTATTCAAAAGCTATCATCTTTTGTAATACTTGACATATTTGAAAATATATATATATATATAATTACTTTGTAAATATTTATTCAGTTCACGATAATTATAATATTCAACATGATATTGGATGAAATATAAAAATAAGGTACTGCTAAAAGTAATAATGATTTTGAATGTCTATCCTAGTCAAAGTAGTGTAATCGTCATGTCTGATAAACGGAAGTAATTTTATCTATATTACATTTTATATCGCTATATGATTATAAACACATAAAATGATATTTGAGAAATCAAGTCTGTTCTGTTTTCTGAAGCTAGGAAAATCTGAAGTCGACGGTGAATTGTATAAAATCTGGTAATTGCTTACAGAAAATCAATTTTCCTCCAAATTCACCAACGGCGATCCTGCTCTTGTTTTACATTCTTCTAAAATATTTTTGAAATCTACCTGTTGCTTTTTAATCTTCTTCCCGCTTGTCAATCGGACGATCATCATTCATATCTTTCTCCTGCTCTTCATTTTTACTTTATCTGCCGAGAACCCTTCAATAATTGTGTAATTTATACTCGACACATAAACTCCGATAACCTTGTTAACAATACACTAACTTCTCATCATATTTTTAGTATGTATACACTAAATATATGCACCATAATGCATATTTATTAAATAACACCACTGTGACGAAAACTGTCTTTTCTTAATCGTCTTTATTATTCTTAAAGGCAAAAAAGTTTTAGAATATTAAATGTTCTGCATATAAAAGGAGGAGATTTCGGTATTTAAACATAAGTAGTACCTGATAATGAACATAATTAACAAGATGAGTGATGATCTCTTGACAGGTATAAATAGACGTTTCGAGATTAATGCTTTCATACTCAAGTAAAATTTTTACTTTTGGAACTTCCTTGAAACACTAAATTATGAAAATTACTCCTAGCATTATGATACTGCATATCTATTGTTTCTTCCTCTCAACACAAATCAACGAAAACTGCATCCAGAGTTGAATAAATGTAGTATTGACGGACAAAGACGTTAATTTTAAGTAAAAAGTGACGTAACTGTAGTTACCAGTTGAGAAATTTTAGTTTTGATATCGTACTACTATCAAGTAGTTGATATATGTAAAGCGAAATGTTTGTTGAGTTAGTGTCTTGTCAATCAAGTCCAAGCATTAAAATATCATAGTAAGTTTGTACTTCATCAGTTAGATGGTTTAACCATGGAGTTTAAATTGTTCCTCCATAAAATGCTATTGAAAAAATATAGAAAAGAAAAGTGTCTTTTGCTTTCAATTTTTATTGTATTAAATTTAACTATTATTAGTTGCTGGTCAGAGAATGCAAAATGTATTTTGGTAGAGCATAATTTTAGTATTTTTAAGTGAGGTGATTCTGTTTCATACATATCATCAAGTTTTTCGAGTTGTAATGTTTACAAACACATTATAAAAACACTGTTGTCCAATGTTTTGATGAAATCATCTAGTGGTTCAAGGTACCATTAATTTTCCTTCATGCTTCAGACATTTTCGACTGATGAATGTCAACATGAATGTAATGCTCAGTAGACTCTTTCCAACTATTAATTTAAGAGAATCTATCATTACGATGCACCACCGCACGTTAGCTAATAATGTCCGACTGAAAACTTAGACCTGTCAAAATTTGATAATACTCTGTATTGGATATGTGGCATCATTATGAAAAGTCGCAGAACTCACGAAATGAGATTTGTTAATTCCCCCTTATTAAAAAGTAGTTTTTTTATTCAGATAAGTGAATAATGTAAATCCTGTAAAGGTGGGTTGTCGTTTGGTCCATAGAGCTTAAAAGCTTAGAACACATGGAAACCTTTACATACCTGGGAAGCACCATTGATACACAAGGTGGATCTGATGTAAATATAAAGACACGGACTGACAAAACAAGGGTGGCATTTCGACAATAGATGGACATCTGGAATTCAAAACAACTATTGATAAACACCAAAGCCATCATTTTCAATACGAACGTCAAAACCGTTCTACTGTATGGGGCGGAAACTCGGACAACTATCACAAAAGATGCAGGTATTTGTAAATAGTCGTTCACTCAAGAAACTGAGGACCTATTGACTAGACACCATTATCAACAACCTTTTGTGGCAGAGAACGAAAAGAATTTGATCTGATGAAGTAAACAGGCGATTGCGCCAAAAACTGAAGGCAGACGTGAATAGCAATTGGGAAGAATAGAAAACGAGAGCTCAGTACATAGTTGGTTGTAGACTGATAGTCGGCAGCCTCTGCTGTTTCTCAAAACACTTGAAACCCCTTTCTTAGGATACATCGATTCGGAGACACTAGAAAACCAGCTCCAGAAATGCTATTCGGTTCACAGAAGCCTTTTTACTAATAAGTTCTTTGTTTTTAGTTGATACTACTTACTGACATTGATTTTATTCCAAGTTTTCTAACCTGATTCATCTTTCATCCCTCGGTTCAAAGAAATATTCTGCTTATGGATCAATGAATATCTTAGTTTGCTGCTACCCGCCAATATTTAGTGGGAGAGGAAGTGCGGCCGTACACAGTAGGTGTTAGCCAAGTTAGTTGAGGAAAAAGAAAGAGAATGAAGTTTGTTTATGTTCACTGTTCACATAAGTCGAGCCTGGGAGAAGTTTATGGTATGTCAAAGTACACCCACTGATTAAAGGGCTACAATAGAATATGGATCCAGTTAAGGATGAATTACAGCTGAAGTATCAGCTTCAAATAACTTAACCACTAACGAACTGAAAATTTTATCAATTTTGTTCCATTTTTCCTGTATTTTCAGTTTCACTCTCCATCGGTGCTATTTCTAACAAAATTAGACTGTTACCTTAACTTTATTTTCACATATCTGAGACTCTTATGGTTTACTTCAAGTTGATTTTCTTCACTAAGACCTTTAACCGATTTCTACACACTACTTTTGAGATAATACAGTAACTGAATATCTGTTCTATATTTTGAATTGTTTCATATTCCCCAAGTAAGCAAACGCTGTTATGAATAAGATAATGTTCATTGATATACAAACGTTTGACACTTCCTCTTGGGGAGAACAAAACGTATGTTTCAAATATTTCTATATGTTTCAGAAAATGTTTACATTAAACTTATTAACGCTTTCATTCAATCGCATATAAGTAGCTCAATAGTACATCCTCACTTTGTTTTCACACAGTAATTTGATTGAAATGTCTAGAAAAAAACTATTCACCTCTAGATTGCTAAAAGTTTATTATTGAGTGTTGACTATTGATTTCAGCATAATTACCATAAAAGTAAGTTAATTAACAAGAGTTAATGGTTCTGATTTTACATTACTGAATTTTTAATTTTAGCAAATATTTTGGTCTGAGTTGGAAACATTCGACAACAGTGGTCTTTTTATCGTAAAAGCTAGAGTTCCACAAGGTAAAAATCGACGAATGCTTATTGGAGGTGTGTGTGTTGACCAGTTTCGTGGAGCTGAAGCAAATTTAGCATGTCGAAGCTTAGACTATTCATTCGCTTCCTCATATTCTTCCGTAAGTCAATTACCGTAATCCTTAATTTATATCTATTTGTTGTAATGTGAATATTATTTCTGAGCCACATTTATCATAATTTATAAGTTGAGTGATGACTTCGTAAATATTAAGGTATTGAATAACTATTTTACATCAATTATTTAACTGAAACGGTTCTGTTATAACCAGGCACATGAAAAATTTAAATATGAATAAATTATTGATCAAACAAGTATTGAAAATTAAAGAGTAGAATGCTGTTTTTAAACTTAATCCAGTATTAATATCCTACTAAACCTAACATATCATTAAACGTTTACATCATTGTTGGTATTTTGAATTTATGATATTTGATAATCTTGAAATAAACGTCCGAATTTCTTTTATCGAACTAAATCATTTCCGATTATTACAAACTTCAGAAGCAGAGGCTATACTTTTAATTGACTGATATTAAATATGTTAGTTATTAAAATATAACCAACAGATTTGTAATCTAAACAACTACTGACTATTTTGTCCATTGTAGAAATAAACTAGCTTAATGTTTATCGATGTTCGTAACGCAAGGTTATCAATACTAGAGTTAGACTTGATAATTTCAAATAAATTGAGCACTGCATGGAAAGTTATTGATAATAAAATAATTGTAATTTTTTGGTGTTATCCTAATGGGTAAAAACTTGTAAATTTGAACAAGTTTGCTCTGAAGAAAAGGCATGCATTAAGTTACGAAACGTCAGAAATACTAATTTTTACTTATTGGGCTATCACCAAAAAAAATTATAACTATTTTATATGGGTGTTTATTATTCTGTTATTGATGATTATAGGCTCCTTGAACTAATGATATTTGTATCCAAGTTCTCTCTGTAATTTAAATAATAATCAGAATTAAAATCCACTATAATAATTTTTTCTATTTGATAAGGACTTGGAAAAAATGCCCAGTATAATGAGCAAAACATTAAAATCAGATGGAAGAAGTGATTTATTGAAGGAAGACACAGTTCACTAGCACAACGCTTACACCATATTTTGAGACTTCATTTGGCTTTCTTTTACATGTTTTATAATCTTCCAAACACTGATCACTTCACACACGTGAATCTGACACCCTTCACTGTAGCAGAAACTTCTAGGCAATACTCTTCTGCATACCAGTCATAAGCCACATTGTGAGTAGAATCCACCACACCATAACTTCAAACGAACGAGCGTTACTTTCTAGGCTACTGAGTAATGATACCTGCCAACTTGATTGACTTTTGTGATATATAGTAGGGATTATTAATATCCGAGATAAAATCAACCGCACTTTTGTGAACTCTCAAAAAACATTCTTATGATCATCTCAGTATTTCTTATACTAACCAATAGTACAGTTCGTTAATCCAATAATTTAAAAAAGTGTTTCCACTCATCCTCTTTTCATAAGCCTTTAAAACCGCTAAAGTCCTGACGACTAAGATTTTTTAATGAATAAATATAGCAACAGACACGTAAATTTAGTATTTGTCCCACAACTCTGAAATAAAGTCCAGAGCGTTACAAATAATTAACACAATTTTTCGAAAATGTTATGTACACAGATAGTTATCAGGCAAGAAGAAACTGATTCAATGCCTAATTTTAGTTTAAGATGACTCACTAAAACCTACTTCATAACACCTGAAATTTAACGAAGATACCTTAATTTTCATTATCGGTTTAGTCAACATTTACTTAGTGATATTAACTGAGATTTTGAAATTATATACGATCTAAGTAAAATACATATAATCTTATAAGTAATAATTTCCCTTCGTAAATTATCTCAGTTATAAAAAGCTGTTCATTTTAAGGTTCCACTGAAAAACGTCAAAACTTTCACCGTATCGTATCCGCTTGTACGAATTGGGCATTGTTTTGGAAATGAGTCAAAATTAGAAGATTGTGTTGCTTTTGCTGATCCAAACGGAGTACCATGTTCAAATAAGAGTTTAGGAATAGCAGTAAACTGTACAACAGGTAAACTGATTATTTTAAATTGGATTATTAATTATTCAGATTCGACATATCCCACAGCTTAAATTGATGAATTTGTTATTGTAATTATTCAAGATGAAACTGAAGAATCAAACGTAATGAAAACAATTTGGAATGCTTGTGGTAGCTAAGCGACCATGATGATCGATCCTAACTACCATGTAAGATGTTTGACTGAGACAGCTATTAAGCCAACATTTTAAGTTATTTGTTAAGTTGAGCAAACTTCCCGAATAGAAACCAACGCTATCTAAGCAGAATATTTAACAGGATTTAAATTAAACATCATAATTACACAGTTTCGGATATTTACCTTAATACAAATTTTCCATGTTCCATAATATTTTTTGGAATTCATATGACGGTAGTCAAGTGAGTCGTGTACTTCCTAATAGAATGAATTTTTGAATAGTCATTCAGTGTTCTTAATATTACGTGAAATCACCATAAACGTTTGTGTAGTTGCATATTGCACAAGAGCATGTGGTGATTTCATTCACCATATTTTCCAGAAAATAAATAGTTTGTTGACTAATACACGTTTACATAGAACAAATCGAATCAAATATTTAGAGCATATTAGCAGGTCTCCTCATGTTAATATTATGTCATTCTGGTCAATTATGATTCTATGTGAATAGTGTCTTTTCAGTATGTATGTGTATCTAAACGATTATGAAAGAATCTGACTTAATGGACAATTTAATTTGTAAATATTGATAGCATGATCGTGAACATGTTATTCCTTATTTTTTCTTGCTACTTAATAACACTTTCAACCATAACTATCAATCAATGTTTCCATTTCATTTGTAAATATAGTTTTAGCTGATTTGGAACCAGATGTCAAAGCTTTAGAATCTTCAGCTTACAGTAGTATGATTCCTTTATTTCAAGCACAATGTGCTTTAGAAGAAAATTGTTTTCCACCGAGTGTTTATAACTTAATTAACAGAAATCGACACTTGGCATTGATGCATATGCGTCGTTTACTGCGTTTTTCGTCAATTATACACAACGTTGGTACTGATGTCTTTCGTCCATATGAACCACCTGAACGATGGGTATGGCATGCATGCCATATGTAAGTTTTTTAATCGAATTGATTGAAAATGGATTTATGTGCATTTATACTCTGCAATGTATCTGATGTATTACTGAAATACTTGTAAATTGAGAAATTACAGATCTAAAAAATAGATTGTAGCTGGTAGTGGAATATAGGACATACGTCTCGTCCTAGTTGAGACTCATCAGCTGAGTGTTTCTGCACCTCATTCTTATTAGTCACACTAGGACCAACAAATGTAAAACCAAACCCTTAAACGAAAACAACTTCATGCCATTTGAACAAATATCTAGCCGACTGCAGCCAGTGACTTAATATTTAAAACGCTAGACGTTCGACGTAAAGGTTACTAGGTTCTAATCCTAGCATGAGCATCAACAATGGTATGTAGATACATATGTCTTATGAGTCTCGAATAGGATGAAACACGAATTCCGTATTCCACTGCCATTCAAAATCCATCTTTACTAAAACTTACTAATATTCTAAATATTTTCAGTAAGGTTCATTGAATTATGATCATTTCAGTATTGATATCAATCAATGAATTGCCTGTCATTCAAAATTTAATTGCTTTAACTGAGATTTCACATACTTGTTAGTCATCATTAAAGTTATCAGTTTGATAAAAATAGAACAATGACAAAACCTTTTTTTAAATACATACATATTTTCTAAGCAATAAGAGTATGAATATATTGTCTAGTGCGTTTAAAATAATCAATTTCACAAAAAAATTGCTTAAGTTCTAACTAATACATAAAAACTTATTCCATAAGTTTAGTTTTGTCAGTATACATTTTCCACAAAACTAGAACTAAAAATGTTAAAGAATAAAACCAATCTCGTTTCGTAGTTACCTGTCAGCTATAAAAAGTCCAGAAGAAACATATTTTCTCTAGTGGCCAATTTAAAGTCATAATACCAGAAACTCTGATAAGGTCCAACCATGTCGTGTGACGTATTAGATTTTCGTCTCAACGGTACCTCAGTATGTGATATATATCGGTGGCGACTATAACATAAATACTGAACCACCCTCCATAGCACATATACTTTTCTAGAAAGCTTAAATTTAAGTTGTTTTATTTTTAGTGTAGAATCAGTTGTTTTTGGACTTTGTCCTCCATCTTAATATTTACTGGAAGATAATTCTTTAGTCTTCACAAACCTAATTGTGACATGATATGTATACATACGAACCCACTGGTGATATGACACAAGTATGAAATTCCACTCATTCCATGCTAATCCACTGACTGATAGAAATAAATATTTATATTATTTATCCAGGCATGACTATTCTCATCATTGAAAGCGATAAATAAAATAAGACTTATAGTGATACAATTATTCAAAGTTTAATAGATCTTATTCACCTATCAATAATTTATTAATAAATACCTAATATACACAGAATTGATTTTTAGCCATTAATGAACAAAATTATTACTTGCTGATTTTCTAATTTTATATAAGCAGAATAGGAATATGAGCAGCAACATAGAAAATGAATTTACCTGAAATACTTAAACTTTTAGTCACTAAATTAAATTCAAACACTTACAAAATTAAAATATGAGCACACTTTATCATTTACTACTGTCTACAATTTGAGTTAAATAGTTCAAAGGTCCATGATAAACCGAATCGATCATTTACAGATAGGATAACGTCAACAACCACTAAGTAGGAGTAAATATTAATCAAGAATACAGTTAACTTTTACAGCTCTTTTGATTTTCATTATTTATTTAAGACTATTCTATGTTGAATTGTAAGATGACTAAAATCTTACTAACATAGCCTATTATTAGAACTCACTGATGCATAAGACATCTGATCTAATTTTCGTGGTGGTGTTTCGTTCTCTGAGCTGGTTGTTTTGGTTGTGGAGCTTTCATTGTTCTTCTGAACAACATCATCAGCACTAACTTCAGATAGATAGATAGATACTTCTATCTGAAGTTAGTGCTGATGATGTTGAGCTACAAGTTTTCTCCACCATCTCAAGATCTAATTTTCATTATGTAGCAATTTTATTTGTGCATTATTTTATGTAGCACACTAGTATACTCTTTGGAAGGACATTTTTAATGATTGGTATATTTAAACAACATAAATTTTAATCAGGTTACGTAACCTGGATAAATGAAACAAACGTAAATTTTTCAACTAGAGATATTTAAGTTCAATATTGGTTGTTTACTTTGACAAACTCAAAATTTTTCTGATTTTCAACCAACATAAACTCCTTCATGATTGAATTAACCATAAACTATTAGAATATTTATGAAAAGAAAGCCATTGCATAAAAAAACCTCTTTTCAATTCACTAAATAATATCAACTTATTTCTCACATTTGTTTTCTTTGTACTGATGCATCTCTACTTAGTTATTTCTTATGTCTTCCTTTTTTTTCTTTCTTTTAGGCATTATCATAGTATGAAAGTATTCTCTTATTATAAAGTTATCAATGCTAAACAACAAATTATGGCTGTTGGTCATAAAGCTAGTTTTTGTTTAGAAGATAATGCTTGTAAAAATGGATATAAAAAACATTTCGTTTGTTCAACCACATTGATAACACGTGGTGATCAAGGTGAGTAGAAAAAAAAAAATGAATTTTTTACAAATTTTATTTAAGAATTATTCAAATGTTGACAATAAGTTTGACCCAGTGTTAACTAAATGCTTTAAAAAATCCGAATAGTATTGATTAATCGACTGCCTTTTCAAAAAATTTACAGGTTCAACCTTATTATCATTAAAAATGCATTACGATCAATGTAACAACAAGCAATCCACTAGAATTGTAGGGTTTTTATGTTTCAATGAACCAATACAATAATGAAACCAACTATACGAGTCATTATTTTCATACAGTACTTTTTAAATGTCATAAGACTTTTCAGCTGCACTCTGCATAGGGTCTATCATATCAGCCTATAGAAATATACGACGAAGAAACCAACTACTACTACTACTACCTTTCTGTACAGATATGGAAAAAAAAACTCTATGAACTCTTTTATTTTGCAAAATATAATAGTGCATGACGGCACATTCAGCTGAACCCAGTATCTGAGAGGTTTCCTCACAGAGTAACATCACTTTTAGAAAAATTGAAGGTCAGAAAGCAAAAGATAATCATTTTGTCGTAAATAATGCTTTTTAACAATGACCTAATATAAGATTCTAGTGTCACTGTATTTCCATTCAAAACTTTTTGCTAAACCAAAACAATATGATTATTCATGAAAAGAGCCAGCAAATAGTTGTAATTTTGTACTGTAAGTAACTATCTTAATAACTAGAGTAATGTCAACTGTAGAGCCTTCATGAACAGATATTTATGAAATTATCAATAAATAAAGAATAAATTCCATTAATAATCTACTTATCTTCATACAATAAACAAATTAATATACTTTATAATTTAATTAAGTAACCTTTAGTTAATGAACACAATAGTAAAAAACTTTGTTAGATACACTTTAAACCCTTTTAAAAATTTGTTTAACAAGATAATGAACACTTAACCATAAATAATCAACTAACTTCAAATTAAGTAATAAACCAAATATGAATCTAGTCAAAGAAATAAATAGTATATTCTCACACCACATAGTTAAAAAAAAAGTATTAGAACCATTGATAAAATCATTCCATAAAATATGGAATACAAAATCTGAAAATAACGAACTAACTTCTATATTTAAAGACGAGGTAATATGTTTACATAGAGAACAGCTTTTACCATGTTGATCAAATAAATTTATTGAAGTTAAATTATGATAGTATTTTGATAAGAATGTATTTTGTTAATAGTTTGAAAGTTAACAAATAAAGCGCTGATTATGCATATTTTTTATCATTCAGATGCAACGTAGAACTTCGTACGTAAGTACATCAGTTCATGTTTCCATACCACATTAGCACAGAAATGTAACTGTCAATTCAAATCCACTAGTAGTAGAGGTAGTAAAGGTATTAGAAGTGAGGTGTTGAGAAATCCAGAAGATTAGGATTTGAGAGAACACAAAGAATGACTGAACCTGCGCCATTGCAAACGGTTTTGAGCCATTTCATTCAGGGTCTCTAACCATCGATTATTATCATCTCGCGGACCCCAACCAGGTAGTCGACAACTACCGACATGACTCAGTCCACTTGTCAATGACTTCGTGGATTGCCGACATGTTTTGGTCTGGCCGCCCCATATTTTTTATCACTCAAATGCTGAAAAAGAAACCTTATTGTTCTCCTAAAGTTTCAACTATTTCAGCAAATTTGTTACAATATTTGAGCAAATATAATGTTACATCATTTGACACTAACACTACATTTATATGCATATTGTAAATTTACTCCTAGGAGTGCAAAAGTTTATTTGGCTGTGTGAAAATCTTGTTCACATAATTCGTGCCCTCATCCACTTCAACGATCGCGATCAAAGACGAACAGACTAAGAAACTAATCATTATTTTCTGCCCCTTACATTGAGTAGAAATAGTTCACATGTTGAACAACCCAAGGTCAAACTTCCGTCTAGATTAAAATGCTTATGGAATTCGTTCCATACTGATTAGATTTTAGCAACTCTATCAAATAAAAAGGCAAAAGATGAAACTGACATTGTATCGACGTTCAGTTAAAGCTTTTCACTACATTTTGCATATAGTTTAAACATATGTACTGACTATAGTAATAATGAAAAGTAAAAACCTAAAACATGATACTGAGTCTAATTATTTAATAAACTAAAGGATGAGAATAGGTCGTTCATTGACCACCTCATTCTTTAGTACCGAAAAGTTAGAAAAACAGCTATCATAATATCAATTTAATAGATTAAACCGATCATTAAGAATTAACCCTCAACGTCTGGTTAAATTCATCCATAATTAGGTTATACAATCAGATACAAACGTACCAGTCGTCTCATTTTTCACCTGATATATATTATCATTGTAGGGTTGCGGAGGTTTCTGAGTTTCATTGAAATCATGAACCAGTCAATGTTAGAACACCACTGAAAACCTAGAAGCACCAGACAGCCGTTCCGTCCAAGTATAAGATGAGTCCGATGAATCGATCAATATCAGACCACCATTATTTCAATGATATGTATTTTTCAACAACATTGAAGTGAAATTAGTAATTTTGAGAACATCTTAAAATACATAAAATTGAGACACTACCAACTAATCTAGAATTGCAAGTTTAAATGTTTTCAAATTTAATTATTCTACGCACCAATAAGGCTTCCTAAAAGCTAGACTGAATCATAACCAAAATTCTTAGTTGTATATCTAACATAACGGTGGTTACACTTTCAGTGGAAATTAACAAAATGCTCAAAACCAACGACAAGGATTGAATCAATCAACAAATATTTAGTTGCTTTATTCGTTTCGAATCAGCACTTTAAGCTATTCATGTGTTAAGCTAAGTCTTAAAATTATCGTTGCACATTAATACCTCAACCTTTTAAAATTCAAATGATATAATATGAGCTTAATCGGTTGGTTCATAAATCAAAAACTTAATAAAGTAAGCAACTATCTATCTTCATAAATATGAACGTAAAAATAATGATCTATCCATTTGAATTATACTGGCTGGACTAGATGATTCCTAGCCCACCTGAGTTTATTGGCCACATAATAATTCCCATATCTACACATAAATATCGTTCGGTTTCCTTTCCATTCCATTCAATAGTATCTTATGATATCGACATCGAATAACAGCAGAATTGGAACTTTATTGAAAATTTTCTTCTCGATTAATTACTTTTGACTAGCTATAATGAGAACGAATCATTACAACAATCTTGAACTTCTGTTACAAAACGGACGGGTTGTTAAGATAATCCTGGTCCCTATAATTATACCTATCAATGAAGATTGAGCGATGTTTGTTTGACTGATTCTAATTTAGATTGTGATATTTTAACAGGATTCACTATTCCTTAAATCCAACAGCAAAAATAGTAGACTTGATAATACATTTACTTCTGTCCGGTGTGTTTCGATAAGAATTAAGCCTTACTATCAACCCACGGAACCGCCCGCTGATTAGGAATTTATCAGAAGTGAGGCAGTCATCTGACCATGATCTATGATAATAATAATAATCATGATTGATTATAATTCGAAGATACGGACCACTGAATCTCATCTCACTGATTCGATCATACTGTGCTGATTACGAAACCCGAAGTCATGGTTCGACACACGTGGGAGGCGTGGACCGATTCGGATTAACAAACAAAACCACGCGGTTTTTAGTTTTTCAACTGATGTTAGTCTGCAAGAGAAATTAACAGACGAGATCAACGGCACAAACGTTGTGAAACATAAATTGATTATTTTATGGTGTTGATGTCGTAATATAGCAACTTAGGCAGACGCATATTTGTCCCAAGTTTTCTGTTCATAGCGAATTATCATTTTTTGGATGTCATCAATGTCTTTGATCTCTTGAAACAAACCATAACCGCAAATTAGACTAGGGATTAATAATAACCTATATCCCAACTGCTTAGTTAATATGATCACTAGTACATTCTCTTGTCAGTTACTACAATTACACAATATTACCTTGTTAAATTCATTTTAAACGACTTCTAGTATTTATAACAACATGAATTGTTCACTTATTGCTTTTACTACTATACTATACAAGGTATTAGCCCTGGATGCCAAGATAATTATTTTCACGATTATGATTGTCAGTGGTTAGATATCACTGATTTAATTCCGGGTGAATATACATTTCAATTGATTTTAAATCCAGATTTTCTAGTACCTGAAATTACTTACGAGAACAATGCCATTGAATGCCGCCTATCCATAGGACAAACACATCATCATTATGCTGCATTATCAAAATGCCATTTAGTACATCCATATGATCTGTGAAAATCCATAAGTGTACACGGTTATATACAAAATCATGCCAGTTTTACTTTTTTTAATCTGACTTTTACGTATTACCTATATAAATTAGTTATCTTTGTTATCATGTAATCACATATGACAATATTAAATCACACACAAAGTAATGAATAACACATGGTTGATTACGTATTGTGAACATTTATATTCCGAGTATACTGTTAATAAAATTATATCAACTGCTACATTTCACTATTTTCAACGACAAATATGCGGGATAGATATGGAATTTATGTGCAACATAATTCTTTTCATTAGTATTAATTACTTTTAGGAACCAGTTGAATTCTTAAACATCATCAACTTAAGTTACAGTAGAGTGAACAAAGGTCGAGCATACCCTGAATGTAAAAACCAATACACCATTAATGGTGGACTTCCTTTTAGTAACCATCCTATCCACTATATGTGCATGAAATTAGCCATTTTTGTTGTATACTGCCAAATACTGGTTTGATGGGACAGATAATCCAATAATTAGCTTATTTACTGTTTTCTCATCTCATATGAAGAAAAATTACAAGCAACATAACTGATACCAAATCTGAACCTTAAACTACCAAAAACCTCAAACAAGAAAGTAAATTCAACCTACCAGTAGTAGAGGTAGAAATCGAAAAGATTAGGGTTCGAAGATATTATTCAAGAAGTATAATCTAGTGAAATAAACTTGAAAAGAGAAAGGTAAGGGTAATAAGAAATTCAGAAAATTAGTATTTGTGAGAAGAGAAAAAATGGATGCACTTGAGCTATTGCAAACGATTTTAAAATCTCTAACCATCGATTACTATCATCTCGCGGACACCAATCAGGTAGTCGACAACTGCCAATATGGCTCAGTCCAGTTATCAGTGACTTCATGGATTTGTGCAGTGTTTTGGGTTTGGCCGCCCCTAGCTTCCTTCAAGCCTATCCTACACCACAAAACATGGCTCATCGAGGCAGTCAGTGGTTGGGCATTCATTACACATGTCCCAACTACCTCAACTGATGAAATTGCACTACTTTATCAACTGATCTACCATGCTAACCCGTTTCCTAATAACAGCATTGCTTACTTGGTGGTCCCAGGATAAGCGAGCAATGTTTAGAAGAAACCTACGATCGAATACTAATAACTTACGAATATCCTCTATTCTTACTGGCCATGTTTCACACCGGTGAATTAAAACCGAGCAAACTGATGCGCAGAAGCCTCGTCCTTCAGTTAGCAAACGGATATCTCGCCTACGCCACAAGTGACGCAAATCGGCAGAAACCAACTGGGCCTTTTGTATCCGTGCCGCGATTGCGTCAGACACCAGGCCATCAGGACTGATAAGGTTCCTAAGATAAAGAAGCAGTCAGCGACTACTTCATTCTATATCACCAAATGTACGAGTTGACAATATAATCTCGTGAACAAACTCAGACAACAAATCCTGAAAGGTAAATTCGTTAATCTTGTGCCGAGAACTTGTGGGCCATCCATACATAATAACACCCAGAATCAGTGCTAGTTAACAAGACATAAAGTATATGAGAGAGTCAACCATTTTTGCATTGACTGAAAACAAAGATGGTCTACTTAAGATTAAGTTAATGCACCGATCATTTTGATTAGAAAAAGGTTGCTTTAGGAAATGTATTATGAAATATTATGCTTTTCATAAAAATATTAAGTTTACGAATAAATATTAGATCATAATATTACACAGAATGTATCAATGTCAATGCAGTTAAAGACTGAAATGAATTCAATAGTCAAAGTATCGGGATAAAATGTGAGAAGCACTGATAAAAAAATGAACATTTTAGGCAAGATAAACTCTATGATTATCATTATTATTATTATTGGAATATTATCTACATTGATTGGAAGTAATAGGGCAGTTAATTTTTATTTTATTTTACTCTACATAAAATTGTGTCGATTTCGCTGTGATATTTACACTTGATGACGAACTGAATGGTAAGGATTGTGAAGTAGCAGCCAACTGAATTTTGCTTAAAGGCAACAAAGATGGATGACCAGTACCTGCACTTATTAGACCGCCATACTTGTGGTAAAAAGACCTACAAAAAAGATTTAACTAAATAATTATCATATACACAATATATATATATATATATATTGTATAAAAATTTAAGAATATAGTGGATGAAATAATTGTGTTGCAAAATTGTTGTAGGTTGCATAATCAAATTAATTTATTTGCTGAATTTTACAAGAACGCTATTCCCTCTTAAATCAATTTATCTTCAAAATTTAGTAAATTCTTACACTTGTACTTTTCGCAAATATACACTTTAAAATGATTTAGCTCATCTGTTTCGCCACACAATGCCAGTTTCAGAAACTGAATAGATTAATAGTCCCGTAATTATGCATTCAAGTAAGTCAGTGCAATTTTCTCAGCAGACAGTTCAAAAGCTAACACGTCATAATTCCAAAATAATAAATGATATAATCCTATTTTAACAAAAACGGAGTACGATGACATGATATTATTAAAGAATTAGAATGCTATTCTCATATGCTACATTTCAGATGTACTCTCAGTGGATTTTTTTCGGTATTTGCGCCATTAAAATAATCGATTCTTTATAACTAAATAAAACAGTTTACATACCCCTGCAACAAAGGTTGCTTTTCTGTTGGAACTCTTGAAGAAGACGAATCAGATGGACGACAATAATCGACAGGTATATGGTGATTCATAGAATCTTCCAAATCTACTTTACTATTTACCTTGGGAGATGGAAGTAAGTTATACGAAGTGGATGTAGAATTAAGATTTGAAGGCAAACTGGGCACAGGAAGCATCCGAGGTGCATAAAATGAAGCTTGTGAACCTGGTCTGACCTCCTTCAATAATGAGAAGCTATTGCTAGGGGTGCGTGTATCAGCATCCTGGTTTGGATGTTTTGAGTTTGTGTGGTAATTTTGGGCTTCCGATAATTCACGCGCATCTTGTAAACGAACCAAACACAACGCTAGAGAACCAAAACATATACTGCTAACAAACCATAATACGACAATAATCACATCTGAAAACAAAAGAGTATGAATTTGTAACCAATTATTACGGAATAATCGTTAATAAACCAATCATCATTATATCACTATGATCCTTATCACTACTGTTACTGGTTACGGTTATTTTAATTACAGTTTTAAAATAAAATTTAATCACATGATTAAAAAAGACTTCACAGTCCACGACACTAACATTAACTTTGTAGAGTTTTATATTAGTTTTCTTACTGTATATTCACAATGATCATCATACTGTATATCGATTCAGCATTTATATTAGGTAAAAACCACTTTAACTATGTTGGTTTGAGTTATACTATGATGCTGTTAATCGTTAATTAATAGATTTAGTTTGTAGACACTTTTATGGTTGTTGACTAGCATCGTTCAAGACGAATTACTCATGTACTAAAATCAATTATTCGTGTGGCGAACATATATTTTGGTGTTTAAATAAAAGATTCAAGTTACTTAAGCAACCATGCAAGAAAACTGAAGTTTCTCATCTATGCAAAATATATATGATTGTATATTCAACAGAAACAATATATCATCAGTTTTACGTACAATGAATCTAAATATACAAAATTTTTAGTTATTATGAGGCTAAAGAATGAACCGAGATAAACAAAGGCTCAATTCTGTATCATTAACTTTTAAAGAATATCAACAGAAACTAATCCAAATGATGCAACAGAAACACTCATGAACTAACAGAATAATAAATCTCTAGTTAACAATTCACATTATATTGAAAGTCCATCTTAACTTTCCAAGGAACCCAACTAGTCTCAAAAACAAGGTTGATTTAAAGCAGAAAATATACAAAAATGAAAAGTAAAGTATGAAAACAAACATAATTAGAAATTACCATATTGACCATAGAATTGGATGCGTAGAGTACGTAGTCTTATATCAAAACAGGTTAACATCAAAAAATATTCGATTACAATATGAGGTAATAAACAGTTTGGTATGAGAAAAAAACTTGCACAGCATAATGTAACATAGAAGCCAACAAGAGCAGTTGAAATACCAAATGCCTGAAAATCAGGAAAAATTTAATATACACATTTGCATTGATTTTAAATATCAGTGAGACAATAAATAATGACAATAGTGTTCACACCCAAATTCTACTCACTTGGTATTTAAAAAATACCTATAACTTGTTTGATACTCTCAAACGAAAGGCATAACTGAAACAAAAACCTGAAAAAGCAGAATGTTTACAACATACAAAATGATCCATTTATCCATAAAAACATTTATTATTGCTATGTGTAGGAGACGGGATCAAACTCCGTTGGGAAATGATTGAGGTATACGATAGATCACCCGAAAAGCTCTAGACTTATCTACAATATGACCACTATCAACCAGGTGTGCTAAGATCGAACTGCGTATTATTTTTGACTGACCCTTCTTAAACCATGCTGTGAGATGTTTAATCATTCGTTGGTAAGTTGCCTGGTAGTACGCCCGATATAGATATCTTCACAGGAGCAGCTGAATTTGTAAATGCACATAGAGGAGGCCGACTCAGGTAACTTATCCTTCGTTTGGGTAGACATCGCTGGTCGACTTGAGAAGGTCAACGCAAGTTTGGCCGCATTGAATGTTCTATTAATTGCTCTCATTAATCTGTCCTGCAGAGTATCGCAGGCCACATCTCCGTTGAATTGTAATTTGATAAATAGTGGCCTTTTTCGGACGGTCGAAATTACTGACTTCTTTTTTACATCAAACATATACTTCCTTATGAATGCGCTGGGGTAGCCGATCTCGGTCAGTGAGTTGTTGATAAATTGCAGCTCCTGACTTAAAGTATCCATAGAACAGATCATTTTTGTTCTGCTAGTGAGACATCTAACCAAGTTTCTTTTGTAGCGGATAGGTGTAAAACTACAAAAGTGAGTGTATTGACAAGCAGCAGGATTTTTTCTATACATACTTCTACTTAGCGAGTCATCACTTTGTCTACTTAGTGTGACGTCAAGGAAGGTCAGCTTTTTATCGTACTCCTCTTCACCAGTGAAAGTGATTGCCGGGTGTACGTTGTTGAATTGTTCCAGGAGTTTTTCTTTGCTGATGTCTTGGTCTGCAATGATGAATGTGTCATCGACGTAACAACAATATAGATCAAGATTCTGAATAGCTTCTTTAAGTGGTCCATTTTCTAGCTTTGCTAGGAAGAGATCCGCTAGAATTAGGCCTAGAGGTGAACCAATGGATATACCGTCTATTTTTCTATAGTAAGTGTTGTTGAATACAAAATGGACGTTTATCGTGCATCTTAGGAGCAATTCTTTAAGGCAATCTTCGGGCAAGCCAATATTGATTTGTTTCTCCTTAATTTGCTCGCATATGAATTCAATGGTCTCAAGGAGTGGTACGTTGGTAAACAAAGATACCACATCCAGTGAGATCATATTTTTCCTGCTAACATTCATATGTTCTACTTTGGAAGTGAACTCAAAAACGTCTTTTACACTCCTACGTACAACTGATTTATGCAATGGCTCTAAAATTCGCACTAGCCACTTCGCAATTTTGTGGTACGGAGAATTGAACATATCTAGAACCGGGCGTAGAGGAAGACCCGATTTGTGAACTTTTGGTAAACCGTATAGTCGTGGTGTGTAGGATCCAGTAGGCTTAATTAAGTCGTGAATTTCAGGTTTAATTATACCCTTTTTCTCTAATTCCTTGAGAGAATTCCTTAATTGATTTTCCACTTTTTTATTGATATCATTATTACTGGTGACTTTTTGAAACTTGCTAGGATCATCTAGCATTCCTTCCATTTTATCTATGTAATCAGTTTTATTCATAAGAACTATACCTCCCCCTTGTCTGGTTTGCTCATGATCAAAGTTTCATCTTTCTTGAGTTTTGTTAAAGCCTCACGGTGTAGTTTAGTGAAAAGGCGATTTGTAGGACGCTTACTTTTCTTATACTGTAAGCAGCTATCGACCAACGTTGTCTTAAACCTAGCTACATCTTCCACTGAGGTAGGGACGAGGTCAGTTGTTTGTGAAAGTAAATTCTCAAACTGCACATCAGTATCTAGTTGATTGGCCTTCTGCCCATAGCATTAGGATAGATTCTGTTCCGACGCAATGACTTCTAATACACCTTAGGATATCTGTTAGACTGAATACAATTAATAGCAAATCCTAAGCTCGTTTTCGCTTCCGTGAGACGCGCATTAAAATTCAGGAACTCATTGAGTGCCTTAAATGCAGCAGGATCCCTACATGATTTAAGAGCATTAAAGATTCCCATTGTGAAAATTAGAACAACACAACATACGTTTTTATTTCTACAGTGAACTGTGGTTATATTCAAAATAAAAAGTTATCATAGATTTTTGTTTGAAACAGTATTTCCTTAATATTAATGATTAATTACTAAAGGTGCATTAATAATCTGCAACTCCTTAATTTACCACTGTTATTTATTAGCCAACCCTATCAAACTTTTTTAATAACTTATAATTAAACTACGAAAAAAACTTACAAAATTTTTAAAAATACCCAGCAAGCCAATCAGTAATCCTGATATTACTGTACAGAAGATAATAAATGAAGCTGAAGATTTGTCTAATTTAAGAGAACGATCTGAAAGGAAAAAGCAGTTATATATGTATGAGTATAACCTAGTTTACTGTAAAACTCGCTTAGCTATAAAAAATATAAATCACAGTCAGAGACACGTATATTGTTGAGTTAAAGCAATCAAGTCAGTCAGCCAGTGACATACAAGGGAGAAACTGATACATGTACATTCGTTGACGTCGCCACATTCCATTAACACAGCAATGATCACAACCATATCACCTAAAATATCTAAACACTGGTTGCGATAATCGCTCGTATCCCAATCAGGTAATCTGAACTCACACGGCTTAGTCACGTATATTATATATATATATATATATATATATATATATATATATATATATATATATAGAGAGAGAGAGAGAGAGAGAGATTCACATATTTTAAATCCTTATCCTACAGAAAATAAGTGATAAAATGAATGTATTGGTGAAATCCTTAAGACTTACCAAGAGAGACCGAGAGATAACTGATCAAGACAAATACAGCCGGAAAAGCGGGGAGTAAACGGGTAAAGCGACGAGGTCGAAGGCTGAATGGTTTAAGTTGACGCGCCGAAGTTTTTGAAAAAAATTTTGAACTTATAGACCTTCGACACAACTGGATGCCACAAATTCGAACACAAGTGTCGTCTTCATTATCATTAACACCACCATGTTCATTTAAAACGTATGGATCTGAATGAGCTGAAGAAGGTTGATACACTAAATCGTTACACAGTTGTAGTGCTGTAATATTTTCTCTTTCCTCATTAACTGGAGCCAATATATTACAATTACCCATTGTTGTGCGCTCAGTCTGTGATGAAGATCCAAGAGGCGCATCAAAGTTTTGATAGCTGTTATCCAATACATCTGAATTCCATGGTTCGTTAACAAGAACAGCAGTAGAATTTTCTACATTTACAAGTGGACCATGTCCAAACATACGTCGGTAATACAAAGTAGGACGAACGTAGAGCCACCACAGTATTACGAACACAGATAGTGAGAAGAAAGCAGGAAGCAAAGCACTCGCTACTAAAATAGCGCAAGCTATGAACAGAATGATAAAAAAGATATATTTCAATAGTATGGAGGGATTTATGGGAATTGTAGAATTTTGATAGTTGAAATCGCACTCTGATCTTAGATCACTACTGAAAACCTAAGAAAACTTCCTATTTGAAAACTTTTGAGCATTCAGTTTCCTGTGAGAACTTTTTGGACCACAGACAATATTCAATGGCGTCAATGTCCAACTTATATTAATTCACAAAATTGAGCAACTTCCATACACTGCCTGCAGTGGATAACTATCTCACACCTAAACTACAACAACATCTTAATACGAGATTAAGTGACTAGAAAATGAAACAGGATAAAAGCCTACAATGTGTAAACTGTAATATGTTTTTTTGGAGATTTAGTCTACCAGTTAGGTTTTAATCAACTGGACGGTTAATGACCTACAAGGTTATTTTCTCTAATCCATCAAGACATTTGATTTTGCTCATGTTGCGCTACGTTTCTATGCTTCTGCACAGAAACATTTCAACAGATTACAAAGGAACTATTCTTTTTTTAGTGATCTTGTCTTTAATTTCAAATAATTCGGGGGGTTAAGTCAATAAAACGGTCTAGTGAGTAGCTATCATTCGGCCACATCACGAGATTGTGTTTATCTATCAATAAGCACTATATCATTGATTTTAATAACTAAAAAATCCGCTCCTACACAATAAACTGAAACCGTGATCAACATATTTAACTAAACCGCTGGATTTGATGAATACACTTTTTCAGACACTAATTTTACAGTTGGTCCTTATCCACATTGATCATTTCATCTGTAACTTCTTAACACTACCTATAATGGATATAAAGAATAAGTAATTGGTCAACTATGAATAACTAGTCAACTGATTAGAAACAGAATTACTCAACAAGGATATTTATGATTCATCCTGTAAATAGATGTAAATCGAAAGCAAAAAACTTTCGCTGGACACAATTCGAAAGCCATAACAACAGCAAAGATATATCCATTCTTTATTTTCTCAGACTACTGAACATTTTGTTATTCTTCAGGGAATTTCCATATATCTACACTCTTTGTACTTAGTTTCCTAAACTATTCTTGATTATCCATTAATGATACATTCTGGAACACGGTGGCTTAAAACGAGACTACTGTGTCAAACTTCGCTTGCTTCAATCAGTCAATGAGATGACATTTCACAAACAACAAGAAAAGAGCTGAAGATGCCGATCATTTGAGTAAAAAGATTTCCTGATAGTGTGTATTAGGGTACTGGTCTTACGGTGACGTAAGAAAAAGTGATCCATATGTAACGCAGGACTTGATACATTTCTTTTACTTTCTTTATTCAAACACAAGCATTAACGAAAAATGAGGACAGTTTAGTGGGAAATTTTTCTTTCAGACGATTTCATTTACTTAAGTTGCATAATCGCATTGATAGTTAAGTTTATTTGCTAAGATAGTAACCTTTAATACAGTAGAATGATGTGGAATAAAAATAAGGATAACTTAAAGCGGTGTCATGTCATGAATATCTACGTAAATTAAATATTGAGAGGAATTTATGTCATGATCGGCCGCTGCTAAGGTGAAGATAATTGGTCACTTGATATCTATCGATATCTATTGAGAACAGAATAAATAAAATTTGTAATAATGGCTGATTACTAGTTGTGGAAATAATTAGAAAGGATTAAGATTATTTAGTTAAAAGTCACACACAAATAAATAGCAAAACACAAATAAGAGGCAAAACAAAAGCCTACAGATTATAAGAGGTTTGAAAAGAAGTTTACGACCATGTAAGGAGAAGCGACTGAACGTACGGATTTCTTCAAAAAGTTAGGCTTGAACTGGTGAGTATCAATAGCCTCTGTTTTACATAGGTTTTTTATATTCATTCCTTTAGGGCCAACTATTCTGACTGCACGTAAGATTTTGAAGGAGGCTGAAGAGCAATGTTTAGAGATGTGTTTCGAAAGAGCCTGCTTTGTGCAGCCAATATGACTTGCTCCACGCAAACAAGTCTCGTATGTGTTTATTCCGAGACCGTGTGACATCTTCATCTGGTCTTGCGTTGGCATCGAACGAAGCGCTAGAGTTCAAACAGCACGGATCCAGTGGGTCTCCATTAACAGTCGATTCCGTCGGGTTAGACTAGAAAGTTCCATCAGAAAGAGAAATCAGTGTTCGAAACGGTATCTTTTCGTTACTTCTACTTACACCGCGATAGAATACACCCCGTATACAATCAAGGTTCAGTTCTACTGTGGTGGGTGCTACTCACAGTGGTATGTAAGTAGTACGGAGCAGAGCATCGCCTAGAAGTTGCTAACAGAGAAAAGTGTCAGGAGATCGAAATGCATGACGTGACCAGCGTATTTTGAAACCCAGAAGAGGACTGAGAGAAGAATGTCAATAACCTACTTGGATTGCGAATAGATTATTGAAAACTACGTGTATAGATTTTGTAAACAAACTGTACCTTCCTGAACATATTGTACTCCATCTGGTCTTGACGTTTCATATATTACACTACCATCAGTTGAGTGTGTTCGACAAATATTGTAGTACTAACTGGAGACTTTAATGCACACGTGGGGTGTCTAAACATAGAGGAGAGTAGTCTGGGTGGCTAATCGGGACTTGTTGGTTGCAGGTCAGAAAACGGCGATCGTCTGCTGCAACTCAATGCAGACTAAAACCTGTACCTGGCTAGCACTAACAATCGGCACATTTATCCCCGATGTGCTGCTTGGCGTTCATCCTTTGCATCTCAAGCCTGGCCTCAGAGTAATTCCACAGCGATTAGCCATCGCTAGTGTGGTTATGCACAAAACTGCTGCTCCTTTTGGAGTGCTTTCCTGGATTTTGACCATGTCCTTGTTTGCGCTAATCTTATCGTGGATTTCAATGGTCAACAATTTCACCATTCTAAATGGATCGATGTGGTGTTATGAAAGAAAGATGAACAAAATTTGCATCTGTTGGTCGTTTATGACTCCCTGGTTGGGATCCTAAAGATGGTACAACTCAGTGGCTTGAGACGTTATCAGACACGGCTCAGAACATAAGTTAATGGTGGTCTTACTGTAATTTTACTGTAATTTCTTGATATAAGTGACAAGAACTTCTTCAACTGAAAGAATAATTCCTGACTTTATTTTTCTTAACTGATCTGCTTCTTCCCCTATTATTACTATTACTTCACTCTCATACACGAATTTGTATTCTCTTTTTTACATTCACCGTCTTTTCTCTCTCTTTACAACTTTATCTCTACCGTGAGACACATATCTTGGTGCTCCTTTGTACCAATGTTCATATATCTTCAACATATAAATAAATATTATAGGACAAAATACAAAAACAAATGAACTGATATTTATAAGAAACATAACATTCATTCAGACTAAACGAAATCATTCATAATTACTCCTCACTTTCATCGAGCTGGTCTGAAAATCTGTAGAAAAATATCAGTCCGACAACAGACCCCGTTATCATAGCACTGACAGCACAGCCTAAAATGAAAAATTGAAGACTTCAAAATAAAATGAATAGTAGAAGTACGGCTTTGATCAGTAATGAAAGTATAGCATTCATACACAGTGATTAACTTTCCAGAGCACTTATTATACGAAAAAAATGATGAAGAATTAGAAGGGTGCTCCATAATATTAACGATATTAAGCAGTAACCACAGTGTTGTGAATATTCGGTTTACATTGAAAGTTCCAAAGATTACCGAATGGGGCTTGGAAGACTAGGATGTGATAAATACCGCTCACAGTTTAAGGACAAGTATGTAGTTGCGGTGCCTTGCGAACTCACAATAAGTATGAGGTACTTTAATATGAATAACTTGGCGGTATGCAATCTGAAATTATAACTTATGGGGATAAAATCAATCTCATTTATGTTGAAATGCCGTTACAGTAAATTATTCAATGAGGACACTATGCTTGAATTTCAATGCATTTTTACAGAGTTTTGAGTCAATGGCCAATACTAAGTTGACATATTCTAAGCGTTTTTTTATTAATATATAATCAATAATTTTTGATTGATTATACTGGGCCTAGATTAAATAGCCTCATCTGCAAAACTAGTTTTTAGTTAATGAGGCAGGGAAAAGATGATAGTAGTTTCGTTCACTGTATCATAGTCGCAATAACCAAATAATTAGCACAGTGAAAGGACGTATCAATAACTTCATAACCAAAAATATAACCAAAAAATATCATCCATTTATTCACTTCAAGATTTGACTAAGAATCCAACAGCGTAAACATCAATGAGCAGAACACTTTAGGGATCAGTTCAACTGGTCTTTAGACACACTTCGGTTAACCACGATCTCCAGTCGTCCTGAATGGCAAATCGACGTAAGTCGCCCTAGTCTTTATGAAGTTAAGAAAGTGATAGGAAATCTGAAGCGAGGGTGAGCAGCAGGACCTTATAGATTGACCCCTGAGATGTTTAAGGATGGTGGTCCGGTTTTAACAGCAAGATTAACTGAGGTCTTGGGCGAAATCTGGAAACTGGACGTACTCTCATCCGACTGGTCTCAATCACTGATTGTCCCGATTTATAAGGAAGGAAAATAGTCCTCTAGTGACAATCACAGGGGAATAAGTCTAACTAATATAGTTCCTAAATTGTTAGCCTCAGTTATCCTTGGACGCCTAACTAGAGCTCGTGAAGAGCAGACTCGAGAAAACCAGGCTGGTTTCAGACTTGGACGTGGATGTATAGACCACATCTTCACACTGCGACAGGTCCTGGAACAGACACACATTTAGGCGCCCGACAATAGTTGTCTTCCTGGACCTTAAGGCGGCATTTGACTCAGTGGATCGTGAGGTTCTGTGGAAGTGTCTGTCTTTGAAAGGTGTGTAGTCAACGAGAACACAGGTGGGGTAACGGTATTATACTTAACGAAAATTACAGTTACTCAGTAAAATCGGAAAACCATATCGTAAATCACTAATTTGCAAAATATCAGTTCATCATATCGAACTGGACTGTTCCTGTTGCAAAACATGAATCCATTGTCACTATTCATGCGTTTCATACAAATTCCATTGTGTTCTAACCCTTCCTTTCTTGATCTTCCCCCCATTTTCTGCTGCCAGACATTACGTTGACACTCACGTCATATTCTACTTATAAGTAGCTCGCACCACAGGTGTACCAATCAAGTACATTAACCTTATATAAGCTCTCTACTCGAACACTACAGGTCGAGTTAGAGCTTATGGCGAACTGTCATCGGAATTAGTTGCTTCAAGTGGTGTCCATCAGGGATGTCCACTCTACCAATTTTTGTTTAACTTTGTCGTAGATATGCTTCTAGAGTTAACAATATCATCGTCAGACTCTTCAGGAGTAGACCTACCAGGAGGCTCGCTTATTGACTTAGAATATGCCGATGACATAATTCTATTCGCTGAAGACTGACAAAATGCAGGGGTCTTCTGACCACCCTCAGCAACAATGCAAGCATGTTCAGGATGCGGTGTTCCTCTTCGAAATGTAAAACGTTGCTTCAAGATTGGGTAGTATCGATACCTGATATAGTGATAGGGAGTGAAGTAGGCGAGATATCCGTTTGCTAACTAAAGGACGAGTGTACTGTTTAGCAGCTCGTTCGGTTCTACTATACGGATGCGAAACATGGCCAGTCAGAGTAGAGGACATTCGTAGATTGCTTGTCTTTGATCATATGTGTCTCCGAACCATTGCTCGTATATCCTGGGACAACCGAATGAGCAATGCTGTCGTTAGGAAACGAGTACTAGGTAGGGGTGGCAAATCAATAGATGAAGTATTGAAACTTCATCAGTTGAGGTGGTTGGGACATGTATTATGTACGCCTAACCACCGACTACCTCGACGAACTGTGTTTTGTGGTGTAGGAGTAGGTTGGAAGAAAGCTAGGGGCGACCAAGCCAAAACACTGCACAAATCCATGAAGTCACTGACAACTGGATTGAGTTATGTTGGTAAATCTCGACTATCTGATGATAGTAATCGATGGTTAGAGATCTTTAATGACACGGCTCAAAACCGTTTGCGATGGCGCAAGTGCATCCATTCTTTGAGTTTCCTCAAATTCTAATCTTCTGAATTCCTTACGACTGTTTCCTTTTTTAATGGATTCCTCTGGGGTATACATATCGAATGATAGATTTGATCATTAATACTTCTAGTAACTCTACTCTGCTGCGGGATATGAACTGACAATTGCGCCACTGTGCTAATGTGGTATGGCAACTTGAAATGATGTACGTATGTACGAAATTCTACGTTATAACTAATTGATTGAACAAATCCTTATGATGAAATCAAGCAAGCGGACTAATCGCCGTGCATTGAATGATTACGCTAGTTGTAGTCGAATAAGGAAACTTGGAGAATACTGTGAAAAAGGATAAACGTCAAACAAGAAGGTTATGGTTGGAAACTTAAATTATGTTGACCATATATTGATATAATTAGCCCTTACAGACAGTAACACTCGGTCAGAAACAATTAATCAACATACCAGCATACTACAGGTATAAGTTTTCAAAAATAAATGATTTTAAGTACAAAAATAAAATCTTACGGGGCCAAATCCATATGTTACATGAAGCGGCATATAATAAACCGGCAAGAAGCAGGACAGCAACGGGAAATAAAATAACTGGTGCATCTTTAGGAAGAATACCACAGTTCATTTCCAAACTCGCATTTAAAGTAGGTAGATTATAAGCATTGCGATAGAAATTGGGCGTAATCTGTGCAGGACAACCAAAAAGAATAACAGGGGTATATGGCACTTGCCATGTATCACCAGCAACTGAGTACTCCACAACGATCGTGACAATATATGCTGTAGCAGGGCGGCGTGAGACGATAATGTTAAGAAATTCATCATTTCCAGTGAATTCACTGTTTAAGACGATACAGAGTAAAGTTAATTGATACATTCCAACCCAGTACAGTAAAAAGAAAGCTTACGGGAAACCTAACCTTAAGTGTTTTTTGACTTTGCACTTATGATACAAGCTTCTTAAAGTAATTCATATGAACCGACTTAAGTGTGTCGAAAACATCCAAAATGAAGGATTTTAAAAATACATGAGTACAGAAGAAGTGGAATACTTTGTTAGCAATGAATGCAAAGTGCCCATGCACAACAACACTAGACTCAGAAATCAGAATATAATTTCTAATTAAGCTCTACTTAGTTCAAAACCAGAGAACTAAAGCCTTATATTAGAAAATAAAGGTTAACAAGGATATGACTAGTGATGCGGATGAGGACTGTATTAGGCAAAAAACTGTACCAACTCTGGATTTGTTTTTGCATGTGAATGTGCACTATCGCTAAATAAATCAAAGGTAAAAAGCGAAAGAGCATGAAAATTAAGTCGAATTCTAAAGTGTTTAGGAATGAATCTAATGAGCTATATTCAGCAATGAGTGATGTTAAATTGGCGTATAACATATAAGTTCGAAACGAACTTTCAGCACTACGGAGTGTTGTATTAAATTTACGTAACTTACTGGACTGTAGACCAATCGCAATAGAGCCAACAAAAGGAGCTTACCTCTGGTGAAAGGATTGTATGTAGGTACCGAGAAATGATGGATGACCAAAGTTAGCCATGTTTTTTAATACCGACGCAACTTCATTAGGACTAGGATTTACAAAGGCTCCATAAGAACCACCGGCAGTTATTAGGGGTGTACCATAAACGTGATAATTCAGACTCCCCGAAAGATTACTGGCAGGGATCCTATGAGGGCACATAGAACTTTCCGATCCAACAGGGACCGAAGCTGCATACAACTGGAGAGCAGAAGTCCAGTAGCTCAAAAACTCAATGCGTTTCGAGCTTGAAAGATTGATATTTTTAGTCATTATATCTGTTGTAATAGCTGCATTCATAAATCCATTGCGCGAGTTATGACCACAACCACCTGGTATCGGAACTACAATGACAGAGATATAGCTCTACTGTAAACATACATTCTGATCCATATGCAACAGCTTGAACCCATACATTGAGCGGAACAGCATAGGAAGAATATATGTAAAATGTTGACGTCTTATTTTCGACAGGGCTAACCAACCCACTGTGAGCCGAATATTGTGAGGCGTCGTACGTAAAAGAGGCTGATGTGGAAACCAGAAGCGGGTTGAAGGGACTGTGCACTTGGTACACAATAAATTTGCTGGCTGGCGGGACATTGTTGACCTCAACGTAAACTATCCCACTGACAGAGATATTTGTGAATGACCCATGCTCAATAGTGAATATTTTATGTGAAAAACATTCCTGAATATTCTCAAAAGTAAACAGCAGGAGGGAAAAAAGCAAGAGACATAACATAACGCACCAACTGAATAGCCGCTCGTGCGGCTAGAATTAAAAGGGCCGCGTCCCCACCTTCCAATCCAATCTCTTTTACACCAGCTGAAATAAACCAATTGGTTTCTTTGCCCTCGATTCTCGTTCTTTTGGTACGTTTCCAAGTGTTTGATAGTGTCCCATGGATGGAGGTTTAGCCGTTCGAATTCCTAATTCCTGTCAGTTGGCAGCTGTACGCTAGTTTGTAACGTGAAGGTAATGAATAAGTTTGTACTTTTACGAGGATATTTTTTAGATTTCATACTGCATTTATTTCAGACCACATGTAGAGTATTACGTGCAACCGAATGGTCCATGCCTGACTAAAGATGTTAAGACAATGTAGTGTCGGAAGCAAGTAAGTGACAGATCTTTCAAAACGTCCTTACGATGAGCGCTCAAATCGCTCAAAACTTTTCCTCTTATTTTACTACAGAACAGGGAGAGATCTTGTTTCATCATTCAGTTTCTTAAATAAAAATTTTATTGTTAAAACACCCTAACTTTTTTTCCCCTGCATAAATAGTCTCCGAGGCCACTGCAAGAAAATTCAAAACCGCGATCGAACTACCACTTGAAGTAGTATGTCTTGGTCGAAGAAGTGGCACCAGCATAATCGGCGAATACTTTCAAGGGAAAGTGGATCTTCATTGCTGAACAATCTGTAAAGATGAGCACATTTTACCCGGCTTGAAATCTTCGATATTGAATACTGAAGTTTATAATTGTATGTGAGTAGATTAATCTGCTGAAGTTCTCGATTATTTGCTGTCTTCGCTGTCAATGAGTTCATTGAGAAATGTAACAGACAAATACCCCCATGTAGCAGTTTAATCCATAATATGAAATGATCGTATGTGATGATGTAAGAATATACATTCATAGCTCTTAATACTGTTTCGGATAAAGAGGGACGTCCTTGTTCTAGTCACTTAAACTTCTGCGTATGTCAAATCACCATTGTAGACATCAAGTTTCACTAGGCAGGAACGAAAAGCCACTTTTACGTTCGAATCTACGTTGTTAGTAGGGAGCAAGCCGCGGTTATGGACAGGCACAATACTTGTTTTCTTCCCTCTAGATCTAAACCAAGTAAATTGTTTGGTGAGTCAGTGAAATGTCAGAGCCGCAGGTGAACCACTCATCAAGTTAAACCACTTATACGCTAGACGACAGGCTCATGATCTTTAGATAGTCTTCTGTACATCATCGATGTTAGTTACGAATAATGCTTATCGACAAATCGCATGTACTGCAGTGGACGCTATGCAATTCACTAATGTATTTTTACAAATGAATTTCCACAAGAAAATTATGTTTGTTCTATATGGGCATCAAAGTAACCACAGTGCCCGGACCCGGACCCGGATCCTTAGCCTCTTCTAGACTCGGAACTCGTACTTCCTGGATGTTTTTAGAACACAGGTTCTATTTCATATCAAGTCTTCTTCTTTTACTAAATCGGGGGTTGGGACACTCGGATTAGAGTAGCGTAATATCCATTTGATTGGGACTCATTTCTCGATCCTGAACAACTTTGCAGTCAGCTGAACCGCGGCGTTGCATGGAATTTGTCCAGCTAGAAACGGAGTTATAAAAATGGAGAACAATTAGTGGACATGATTGTTATATTCCCAAGGGAACAAATTTCCCTGTCTTTCGTCCTTCATTGAGTCAATGACCTGAGAGCGAAAATTGCCATGTCCTCAACAAATCATTTGCCTCATTTACTGTAAGACCTGCAAATTTTGAATTTTCAAAACCATCGTGACCAATGAATAACACCTGATACCATGTCATCTATTGGCCTTTGACTGCCTCTAGACCCAGTGTCCACTCAGAAGATTTTGGCAAGTGAATGTTTTATCTCTTGTTAACCACTTAATTTATGAAACTTAACTCATACACTAGTAGAGGGTAATCTCTTGGTTATACATCATCGTAGATGGGAACACATAGTGTACGCAGAACTAGACTGTAAATAGAAATGGACTAATGTGATCGGCTCGTAATTTGTTGACAATAACTGAAAAAGGTGTAGGTCACAAGGTAGGTGATTTCTGATTATGATTATCGGCCTACTGGACTTGGACAAGAGTGCTGTGATCTCCAATCTAAATCGAAGCCATGACTGTTGGTTAATAATGAACATGGATTATGCAATCGTTATTATCAGGTTACTGACCAGAATGAATACTCCTAATAAGTAGTAGCATATATTAGTACCAACAGAAGTATGAAGTGAAACTCCAGCTGCTTACGCCTATCCATGACATTCCAAATCGTGGATGTGGGTTACCTTGGCAAGGATCGATAAAGCGTTAGGCATTCGTCGATGTGGAGGCTGGGTGATTTGGTTGCGAACCAGTGACATTTCTCTGGCCTCACAACGGTAAAACATAAATAAACCAATGGAATGTACATGAAACTGAGGGTTGCTTTCAGGAAAATATAAAGGTGCATTAATTTAAAAAGAATACAATACTTCATATAGCATTGTGAACAATAATTTTCCATGAGGTAGTTCTTAAAGTAACAGCTTTCTCACTGATCGCTCCCTCATGAGAACAATCGTTTCATTCAAATGAATATAAAACCAAAATCTGTCTAGGTTGACAGTGATTTTCAAGAATTTCCTCATGGTTACTAAACAAGCGCTTTGCAGAAAAAGCTCTCGTTTTCAAATGCTGTCTAATGTTTCTGTGGGAACAAAATTACCTACACAGACAATCATTCTCTTAGCTTGTTTTGTGAAGGCGGGATATATACGTTAATAAAGCTAGTGTTGTCACTTATCAAAGCTGGTTCTCTTCAAATTCTTCCAAAGGAATTTGTAAATTGGTCATTTCCAGGCTTCACAGTAATGGCGACAAAATCACTGTTTTATTTGTTTAACAGGTACTTGGACGATGCCATGCGATGCAATCAATTTTATATAAACAGTTTTCTTACATGTTCATGTTGTTCCATGAACTATTCAAGAAGCTTCAGCCCTCTAAGAAACAATTATTGTTATTTAAATACGGTGTGAAAAATATACGGTGTTTGGATCTAGGCAGGTTTTCGTTGCAGTTGCAACTGCCGAATTAGGATCAGTGAGGAAACGGTCAGACAAGCCCGTTTATTTAACAATCACAAGTCCAGTTCACTAGTACAACAATACTGGCACGATATCAACTCCAACTATCTGGAAAGCAATGATAAGAATACGTGCAATCCGTACTTCCGTTAGATACTCTTACCGACTAAACTCCAATCACGAGCTGTAAGTTCTGGATACAGTAACCACGCACCATACAACGAAATGGAAATCCTAGTACTAGGAAACTGCATGTCAGCATGACTAAACAAGATCGGTGGCGTCAGGTGTCTAGAGAACATTCTTCAAACTGTCTATGCTACTTGAATAATAGACCTGACCAAATATTGTTGACATATCACGACATTACTACCCAATATCAGACCTTACGCGAAAGTGGCATTACTGCTTATTCTCACACGTCCAATAAAAAAACCATTGGTATGCTTCAAATGAACCCTTTGAAGTGCAAATTTGTAAAGATGATGACTAATGTATATAACAAGGGAAGCAAAATGTGATATAGAGCAACAGCGGCTGTTATAGAAGAATCTCACTGTATTTAATTGTCTTTTATTATCCTGAGTCTGATTACGCCACATGTGTTCGGATCATTTCTTTTAATCACAGCTTCAAATACTTTGTTTATATCTTAGGCTTTGGGTTTTGCCCTGGTATTTCGCAGGTTTTACTCTAGGAACCTAAAAGTTGGAAGTTAGTTGTACAATTTATCATATCTATTGTTGAAACAACATAGCCGTACTGACTGCTTGCCACGTACGAATAAACTTTGGTTCCCGGAACGGATTTTTCGACTTCTCGCAAATTGGGGTCGTAATCTACGAGTGAATCCGTTAACTGTGCTTCAAGAACAGACCATAGCAGAATTTAGACACATGTCTGAGCCATGCCATCCGCTCACCCATTGACTATCCAACCCGATGTATTGAACTCGGGCTCGATCCATTATGGAAAAGAAGGCTTAAGTCCAATCTGATCCTTTACTTTAAACTCCTGCACAAGCTCACATATTCCTCCTGCAGTTTAGTCCTTATCCATGGCCCTTGTACACATAACCTTCGAGATAAAGTATCTACGGTCAAACTTGAGAAGTATAGATCCAAAACTCCTAAAAACTCCTTCCTCACTAAGTATGCACTTATATCGAATAGGCTTCCCTCAAAAATACGCATGGCAAGTGGGTTACATGAGTTTGTTCAACTTCTTAATGATGCTCTCAGTTGCACTGACTCTTCTGCGCTCGTGAACTCACTCGCACCCTGCTTTCATATTAATAGCTCTGCATACACTTTAAACACAATGAACTCAGTGCTGCGTCTTATTTAGTTATTTTTACACTTCCAAGTAGCACTAATTTTTCTAGTTGAATATAAATCTCTTTAGTTTTTATTTGAAATAGACAGGTTACTCTACTAACTAGGTCGTTCGACACTGTTCAACTGTAAACTGGTTGATTAGAATGCACTCTACTCTCCTGGGCGCAACCTTATCAACACTTACAACTGTGTGAGTTTCACAGTGCCTTTTATCAATTATACTGTTCTCACTTACACGCTATTGACTTACCTTGGCCCCTTAGTGTTATCTATTGCTCCGCTTTTAACCGCGATACTCTTTATATCTCCTGCTTAGCTAGTTAAGTACATCTTCCCCACTACATTCAAAATGCTTATATCTTGTTTGAAAATTCCTACTATTTCTCCATAACTGTTAACTGTATAGCATTGATGCCTAACCAATAGTTCATAAGTTGTAATAGCCAGACGAGTTTGTGAAAGGAACTTGCAGAAATAGTGTTTCTCAACAGGATGCGAGACATAGAACACCAAGTAGAACTCAATAGCTTCTTTTAAACATTTAACATGAGCCTAACAACACAAAA